GGGGTGGGGAAAGAACAGCAGATACAATTTTAAAGAACACCCTTCTCTCCTTACGGTTTAGAGATGCATTCCCTCATCCTGACACGCACACTCTAAGTAGTCTTAAGAAACAGCACAAAAATGAAAGTAAACAAACTTAACTCTGTACATACATTTGAAAATTGCACCTGATCTGGGTGAAGAATAACACCAGTGCAAACAATTAGCTATATTTTTCCCATATGGAAAACAAAAGGTCTTAAAGTCTCCATAAGCAAAATACACCAAACAGTACAGAACTGTGTATCTCTAACTTCCCACCCACCAGAAAGACAGGAACAAGATTATTTTGATGTTAAAATTATTGTAGATACGGTCCTTATGAATTTCGATAACCAGCTAAGCTTTCATGTTAGAAAAACTCTATGCCTGTATGTAAAATTCAGATGTTGTGCTTAAACACACACACACAATTTCCCCTTCCATTTTCCTTGTATGATTAAGGCCAAACAATTTACATTCTTGCTAGCTATGTTACAGAATTATATATTCTCCAGAAGTGAGCACAATATATGATGAAACGAAGCAATGTGAAAAATGGAAGGGGGAAAAAAAAAATTTAGCAAGTTATTCTAAGGCATCCCTGAGAACAAGGCTTGCCAGTTCCCTAGATACCAATACCAACTGCAGTAAGTTAAATTTTTCTTTGTGCAACATCCCAGTAAATGACAGGTTACATGTATGATACATTTCAGTTATAAGTGCCAATCCATGGGGTGGCTCTAATTTATTCTATTTCAGTTTTGTAGTCCTTCACCTGCTCATGCAAAGCCAATTTGCAAACCTTTAAGAGATGCAAGAGTGAAAAAGCACTTTCACTTAGTATCTTTGACTAACAATAGCTTACATCTGGAACAAGCACATTGTTTATTTATGAACTTTTTCTTTCCGTGGCCACATGGCTCTTCAGCATTAAGTATCTTTCAACACAAACAAGAGAAACAATATATTCTGGATCCTTTCAAATAACCTTTTAAATTTTTTTTTTTTTTTTTTAGCATAACAAATTCTGCCATCAGCACATACCCTACCGGAACCTTTGTAAGAAGTCAACGCAGCGTTATTTCACCCAGAACACTAGTATTTTAAAGCAACTCATTTTATCACATCAAAACAAAGAATTACAGAATCATTCAACAAGCTCCACAAGTCCAATATCCTATCTCAGCATTTCCAAACCCCACTCATCTGAGGCTACGCATGAGCCTTTGGAGGACATTCTCCAACACAGCAGAAACTTATGCTATAATGGTCACTAAATGATCCATCTGTGCCCTTCATAACCCCATTTCTACCACTTTTACTGTTATTTAGCTTCAGTGAACATTTTTGGTATCCTGTAGGTGGCATTGGTGACAAACCAGGCATCACTCATGAGCTCAGAGGAAGTAAATCAATCAGGGCAGGGATGCATCCACACCTAACACTTATCGTGTACAATTCTATCAGTCAAACTAAAAGTCTGGTAGCAACCCTAACGTCTAGCAAATTTCGCAGCAAGTGTGGGAGACAAACACGAACTATTACATACAGATTTTCCTATGCAGAACCACAGCTCACCTACTGACAGAAGTAGCTGCCCCAACAGCAAGCTACATGGCATGGACATTCATAATACGACCTCTACCATCACCTACAGACTTTTAGACTAACACAGTAAGGGTATCAGATTTGATACTAGCATGACTAAACTAGTGTGAGTTTGTCAAGCCATACTCTTCAAGAGTCTTGCACTCTGTTTTCACATTAATAGTTCTGTGCTATAAACACCTTTATTTCTTGCACACCCTGCAAACAGAAACTTTAACTTTACATTTCTCTCTCTGTGCTGACTAAAACAAAACAGGCTTTGCCTGGATGACTGTGGCCTTCATCCAGCCCAAGCACTTGCCAGAGCCCACACCCAAGTCACCTCTAAGGGCAGTGGCAGAGACACCATAGCCTGCCAGAGACACAGCTGAACATCATGAAATCACCAATAAATTCATACAGATTTCTGAAATTCAGACTACAAAAGCTAAAACGGCAGTCTCAAGGTTGCCAGCATAAATAACTATTCAACAGATTCAAGATTTAAAAAAAAAAAATCACTAAGATAGAAGGAACTAATCTTAAAATCATCTAAAATTCACTAGTGACTCAGTGAGCAATACAGGCCTCAATCAAAAGTGACAGATCGCTGGCAAAAACAGAAGAATAAAAATATGAAGCCTAATTGCACTCATTACAAAGCTTTTGTAACTTCCCTTTTATGAAGTGTTGCTCATCTGACAAGAACCAGCAGCTTCAGCTGTACTGTGCACATCATACGAAAAAAAAAAGGGGGCAAGCAAGAGGAGATGGCAACCACACTGCCAAGATGAACATGGAAATGCACACCAGCTGAAAAATAATCACCTTAATTTATGTAACTCACTCAAATACTACAACTACATATCCTGCATTTTTGTCATTTTATTGCAGTTGCCCAGAATGATTTATAGCCCCTAAGCCCCAAAACAAGTATACTGCTGCACTACAAAATGCTCGTTGCTTTTGTTGGTTCCACTTGCTCAGCACTCGACACCCCTGCTTAAGGGTCACTTCAGTTTTAAAATAAAAATTCCAGTCCTATGCAGCAGCAGATCTTTATCCTGCCTTAAGGAGTTCAGTACGTTTAGGTCTGAACAGGGAAAAACTAAGCAGGTTGTAACCTGGTTCACTACTGAAGTACAACTGCATCTGAAAAAAAGAAAAAGCTAAAAGAGATATTTGGTATCTGCTGGAAAGGGTGAGAAACATCTCCTTCTGCTGTCTGCAGCATGAGGCAGTGGGGAGAAGCAGGAGTACGAGATCTGCAACTGCTGCAGTTACCCCCGCACACCCCGTTTTTAAATACCACTCACCAAGACGAGGCGAGGTCTGGTTGCACCCATAGCCAGCGCTGCCGGGGCCAGCATATAATACACAATAGTTACGGAAGCAACGACTTCCTGGCCCCGAGTGCCGCGCCGGGGAAGCTGCACATTCATTATCATTTCGATGAATTATTTAGGCAACTTGGTTAGGTAGATGCTAACAACACACATCCTGAAGGTGTGCATTCTCACAGCTTTTCCCTTATGAAATGCCCAAGAGTTTATTGTTTGACTGGAAGCCCCAAGAAACAGCCAACAAAGGCAGGAAATTATGCTGCTTTTTTGAGCAGTGAAAAATGACTATGTTGACTTGCCACATAGCTACATACGTAAGAGTTTTCGATCTATACAAAGCACCCCTTAATTCCAATGTACTCAAAATTATCTGCTTCTAAGACTAGTAATCAAAGTTCGTATCATATTTTTTTGTGGAGGACTTAAGCCTTAGTTTGCCAGCACCAAACCATACTCAGAAAGCTCTCTGATCCCACTGTCACAGAAGCTTTAAAACACAAGTCTGCCCAACTAAATTACACCTGCTCACTGTGTGCAACTACTATTATGTATTTCTGCAATAACTATTCTCAAGCTGATTTAAACTTCTTGCCAACATGCTTAAGATACAGCCAGCAAGTCACTTCTGGGGCAAGCATAATTCTTCATGAATTCCATCCCATTCCAATATTTGCATATAAAGGCTTTTCCTCAAATGTTATACAGCTGTTCACTCTACTTATGCAAGTCATACTTCACCAGACAAAAGAAATCTGATAAGGTTTGTTGTAATTCTACAGAATTTATAGTCTATTTAGACAAGCAGCACCTGATCTGCAATATTCCTGTAACACAGCTGAGCAACACAGCTATCAGGTAAAACTAGTGCTAACCCACGGCAATGTTTTTCCCGTCTCCACCCGAGTAATAAGTGACCTAAACTGGCGAGTTCAGGAGCCTCCACCATGAATTACCATATGCTCCTTAGCACTGAAACAAGGGTATCTATGAATAGCTTCTATGTTTAGAGGTCAAACCAGTATATTTACCTGACATTTTTTGCATGTAAGTTAAATATAAACACACTTTGCACCACTTACTCATATGACAATGAGCCTATGAATCACGAAGGGCTCCAACATTCCACATCCTGCTTAACTCCTCACTTTTAAATGCAAATTAGTATGAAAAGGTAGCGTGTTCATGAACCTTAGCCTACATATAAACATAAGGATTCCCTTCCAATACCCACGTACCAGCGTTGCTGGTTAGACAGCCAGGCCCCATTACGGGCTCGCCTAACAGCTCCTCTCCCGTTCACACAGTGACAGTGGTGAACCGGAAAGTGACAGTTCTTGTCAACGGGTGACTAACCCGCCCATTAACGTTGCATGGTCACATGGGGCTGTTCTGAAACTTTATTTAGAAAACATTTAACAGGTTCAATTGGCATTTCTGCTCCCCTATCAAACCGAGCAGTAAGTAGCTTACGTTTTAGTCCTTGATTTTGAAAAGACGGCCTTAGAAAATGCCATACACTTTAAAGAATCAGCTACCTCACACAGCTGTCAGTGGCAGCCCGAAGCACCTCGCTGGCACCCACCTCTGCAGAGCTGCTGTGAATTACACACCCTACCCAAAAGCAGACTACATTCCACGTGGTTCAAAAGCCCGGAGACCCCAGCAGGCTCTCAGGTGCCCAGATCGCTAGGTCCGAGCTCAGCCAGCGAAGGCAAGGCAGGCGCGGAGGGGAGGCCCGCAGGAAGCGGCGCCGGCGCTCAGCGGAGCTCACGGGTTCACAGCCGCGC